CCACCTGGGCAGTGAGACCTCATCTCTACAATAAATCAAAAAATCAGCCAGGCGTGGTAGCGCATGCCTGTAATTCCAGCTACTTGGAAGGCAGAGGTGGAAGGATTGCTGGAGCCCAGCAGGTCGAGGCTGCGGTGGCCGGGAGCGGCCACTGCACTCCAGTCTGGGCGACCGAGTGAGACTCCAACTCAAAAAAAACCAAAAAACAAATAAAGCTTTTACTGGCCTCAGAAAGCATTGTATAAATTATCTGTTTACTTGAGGGGATTTTGATCTTTTTAAAAATGGAAATAGCGGTCAGGCTTGGTGGCTCAGCCTGTAATCCCAGCACTTTGGGATTGCCTGAGCCCCCGAGTTTGAGACCAGCCCGGGCAACTTGGTGAGACCTCTCTCTACAATAAATCAAAAATTAACCAGGTGTGGTAGCACACGCCTGTAGTTACGGCTCCTTGGAAGGCTGAGGCAGTAGGATCGCTGGTTTGCCCAGAAGGTAGATGCTGGGGTGGCCATGAGCATGCGTGTCACTGCACTCCAGCCTGGGGGACAGAGTGAGACTCTAACTCAAAAAAAAAAGGAAATAGCTTTATTGGCTTCTCTCTCTTTAAAATATAATCCGTGTTCATTGTAAAAAAAATTCAGATAATATAGGAATGTATGAAGAAGAAAGTTAAAATTATTCAATGTAATTTGAATAACCAATGTAATTTGGGAGTATATCATTTCAGATCTTTTCATATGTAATGTGTAGACACACACATATGTACATCTAGAGCTACATCTAGAAAAGGAAAAGAGATGAAATCATAATATTCATACTATATTCAACTTCCTTTTGTTCACTTGTTCACCTCTATATTGAGGCCATCTTTTCACGTAAGTATGTCTAGATCTATATCATCATTTTTTGCTTGGCATTAGGGAAGTGGTTAATTATAACTTTTTTTAAAACATTTGATTATAGGCTTTGGCCCTCTCCCCCACCTTGGGAAGGTGAATCTTCTCTCTCCCTTCTCTAATTTACTTTTAAGTAAAATTTTCTTTCTTTGCCAAAAAAAATTCTTTTGATTATAGAATCATGGGGTACAGGTGAGGATTTACTACATAAGCAGTTGCATGCAGATGAAATGTGGGCTTCTGGCTGGCCCGCTCTCCCCCTGGCAGTGGACCGGGTGCCCAATGTGTCGCCTCCATCATCATTTCGAGGGGGTGTGTAGTTCAGTTGTAGCAGCATACCTTGCTTTGTTTCACCAGTGCTCTGTTCGTTTTTGTTTTTTTTTTTTTGCTGTTACAGATGGCACTTTGGTCATCATCCTGGCACATATATTTTTGTCTACTTTTCTGATAATTATTTCCTTAGAATAAAGTCATAGAAGTGAAATTGGTTGATTAAAGGGTAGCCACATTTTTAATGCATTTAACGTTGCCATATGCCCTTCAGATGGATTTGCATGGCTTTAAAATCCCACCAAAAATATATGACTATTCCTTTCCCCCTATATCCTTATCAGCACTAGGATTAACAATTTTTTAATCTGTAGAAGTCGAACTGGTGAAATATAACATCTCATTGTTTAAATTACCTTTCTTTGATTGCAAATTGGGTTGAATTATTTTACGTGCTTGTTTTCCTTCCTCTTCCTAATCTCCTTGCCCATTTATACTTATTTCATATTCTTTGCCCTTTTTTTCTTATTTGAAGATGTTCTTTATAGCAAATAAAAGCTCTTCTTTTGTCTGGCATGTATGTTACAACTATTTATTCCCATTTTGTCTTTTGGTTCATAATTTTTTCTGTGCATAAATTTTTAATTTATGTAATTGAATCTATCGATATTTTTCTTTTATAATTTCAGGATTTGTGACATATTCAACAGTTTTTACCACACACTTATAAAAATATCTTCGCTGTTCACTCCTTCTATCTCTAGCTGGTCAGTTTTTACTGTCTTCTTTTGTATTGGACCTCAGTTTTTGTTTATGGATTCAATTTTAAGCATACCTTCATAGGGATTCATCCATTACATCCAGGGTACTCCTCATTGTACCCCTGTCATGCTAGACCCAAGTCCAAACCCTCAGCCACTTGACTTATGTACCAAACGTCTGACTTCAGCTTCCAGCTATCACCTTACTCCCATCCATCAAAAGATATTAGGAAGAGGGAGGAAAATCAGTGTTTTTTCATAAATCATCTTCCAGGGCTCTGCTAATGACATTGGCAATATAAGCCAAGTTATAACTTCTAGGGAGAAATCCTGGAGTTTATTTCCTTTTTCTTTCTATTACTGATTGACCATACTTTTTTCCCCACTAAAACACTGAAACCTTTGCTCTTTTGTAAACAAACTTACATACAGCCTCAATCCCTTCATTAAAATGATCTCTTCCCCCTGCCTTAATTGAAGCATGACTTTCCCTGAGAACATCCCTTTTCTTCCATTTCTCTCATATTCTGCACACCATAAGCCCAAAAGGATTGTCCTCGTTATTCTGTGCCACATTTAAACCACTGCTTTTTCTCCTCCATACAGTCTTTCTTCCTGTGATGCCGACGACTTCTGGATACATTCATCTTTATTCTTCTTGTTGACGTATGTAAATCTTCTGGCTTCTTCATTTACTGAGGACTTTGAAATGTAGCTTATGTTCTCCTTCATCCAATCACTGCTATCATTTTGCATGGTATTGTCATCTTTATAGATGATCTGTAGACTCTTTTTTTGGTATCTGAAATAATCTAACTTCCAAAAAAAAAAACTTTATACCACCCATTTCCATGTAACCATGTTATCATCCAGTATTGTTCTACTCTGAAATTGTAAACTTCCTTGTCACAATATCTGATTACACACCTTATTCCTCCACTTCTCTCAGTATTTGGCTCAGTAATTGAGATTTTAATAGTACTTTTAACTGAGATTTTGGGCTCTATTTTGGAGATCAGAAAACCATTATAAATTCAGAGACCCCCACCTTCTTCTGGTTCCTCAGCGCTACTTGGCAATTTTTTTTTTAAACTTGTTTGTAATCAGCTTCTTACTTTATTCTTCTCCATATCAGCTTTTCCAAATATTCACCACTCCACTGAGGAAAACCCAAATTAATAGCACTCTCCATACATGTGTTAGAACCCACCTTTACCTCCTTTCCTTCAGTCTCAAAAAAGATACTATTTCCTTCCATACTAATCTCTGTATATTCTAGAGTCCATCCTACTTCGTCAGGGACCTCAATCAATTCTGTATTTTCTCTTTCTTAATATCTAAATATCCCCTTATATGATTCTTTCCCTTCAACTCAAGTCTCCTTTTTCTTTAAGAAACCTTTAATGCCTCCATACAATGGAATATTATTCGGCAATAACAAGAAGTGGGCTATCAAGTCACAGGAGGTTAAAAAAAACTTAGGGGGAATTTAAATGCATATTGCTAAGTGAAAGAAGCCAATCTCAAGAGACTACACATTGTTTAATTCCAAATAGATGACATTCTAGAAAAGACAAAACTATAAAGATAGTAGAAAAGAAAAAAGACCAGTGATTGCCAAGGATTTGAGGGGAGAGGGAAGAGGGATAAAGTAGTGGAGTATGGGAGATTTTGGGGGCAGTGGAACTATTCTGTATGATACTGTCATGGTAGATTCATGATGTTACACATTTGTCAAAACCCAGAGAACTGTACAACACAAAGACTCAACCCTGTCATAAACTATGGCCTATAGTTAATAATAAAGTATTAGCCGGGCTCGGTGGCTCAGCTTGTAATCCCGTGCCTTTGGGAGGCTGGGGTGAGTGGATTGCCTGAACCCGCGGGTTCGAGACCCGCCTGGGCAACTTGGCGAGACCTCATCTCTACAATAAATCAAAAATCAGCCAGGCGTGGTAGCGTGTGCCTGTAGTTCCAGCTACTTGGAAGGTTGAGGCAGAAGGATCGCCGGAGCCCAGCAGGTCGAGGCTGCGGTGGCCGGGAGCAGCCACTGCACTCCAGTCTGGGTGTCAGAGTGAGATTCCAACTCAAAAAAATAAATAAATAAATAATAATAAAGTATCAATATTGGCTCATTAGTTATAACAAATGTACCACACTAATGCAAGGTGTTAATAGGGGAAACTGTAGGGTGGAGGGGAGAGAGGAAATATACAGGAACTCTCTGTACTTTATGCTCAATTTTTTTGTAAGCCTAAACCTATTCTAAAAATAGATTATTAATTTAAAATTAAATAGGTTTTAATCAAAAGTAACCAATAATAGTAAGTTTTTAAAAAATATTTTATTTTTATTCATATTTTTTAAAAAACACTTAGAACCTTTCCTTGTTCCCACATTTCCCTCTAGCTTTTATCTATCTCCATCAATCAGTCTAAAATATTTGAGTGTCTATCATATGTCAGACCCTGAGTTCTGGGAAAACAAAACAGACTTGATCCCCACCCAGAGTCGGCAGACCAGAGGAGGAGCCGTAGAAGTAAACAGACAATGACAGCAGTCTATTTCCTCACCTTTCATTCATTCTTCAACCAACTCTATGTAATCAAACTCTGTCCTATTATGTCCACTTTAAGTGTCCCAGGAAAAGTCATTTAACACCTATTAACTCCTGACCCAACTTCTCTGTGGATTTTAACACTTTAAACTTCACTTTTTCTTAAAGCTTTTTTGTCCCTTGGCTTCTGTTAAATAACAACTCTCTTCTTGTTTTTCTTCTTGTCTGATTGCTTTTTCTCATCTCCTTGCCTTAGGTACTGATGTTCCCTTAGGGCTCTATTAAGGAACCACGTTTTCATCTGCATAGTCTCTCCAGATAATTTTATGTACTCACATGGCTTTAACTACTACCTTACTGATGACTTCCAAATTTATATATCCAAGGAAGCCTTGATAGCTACCTCCCCTCTATGGCCAAGGCCAAAGACATTTTATAAAAATTGTTTTATAGCTATATCGTAGCAATTCCAAGTTTCCTCAGTTGCCATCTTCCACCCTCCATTCTGAATCTACTTCCTCTCATATGTTATCCATAGTTTCCTTCCTTTTGTCTAGTACCTGGATTGCCTTTCGGTCTTGTTTGGCTGGTTGTATGGCTTTCCATTTTATAGTTATCCATGAATGCTCTTTCTCAGAGCATGCTGTACTGCAACTCTAAGCCAGTCCTGCCTTAGTCCTGTAACCAGCCAGGTTCAGCAATCTTAAACATTACTTATCTGGAAGGAGAGGTCAGAAACTAGCTCAGGTCTCTTTCCTGAGCTTTGGAACTATGTATACAACTACTTATATGAAGAACATATGGGTAGCAATGAATCTCCAATTCAGTCTTTCAAAAACCCTTTCCTCCTGCTGGGTGTTCTATATCAGTGAATGGTTTCGCTGTGTATCCAGGAGCCCAATTAGGAAATGCAAAATTATTCCTAACTTTTCTTTCATTCCTTATTTCTGTGTCTTACCAGTTCTAGCTCCCTACATTTCCAAATCCAACCCCTTAATTTAATATTTATTGTCACTACTTTATCATTTCTTTTGTGAGCCACTAAATGGTCGCCTAAATGGCCTCCCTGCTCCTCACTTTGCTAGTTTCATGCTGCTGCCATATGACTTTCTCTATCACAAATTTGACTGTGTCCTTTCCGGTGGAAAATCACTAGGACACTGTATTGTGAATAAGATGGCAATGCAGGATCTGGCTCGAGCCTACTACTCCAACCTTACCTTTATCACTCACCAGCCTCTAGTTTCAAAGAATGTGCCAGCAGAAGGACACGATTCTAGAAAAGTGCCAGGGTATATGTGCTGTATAATGAGTTACTAAGCCCATGAACTTTCCAGAGCTCATAACTACGGTTGGCGAAGTCTAGGACTTGGCTTTGCACCTGACTGGCACTTCTTCACTGCTCTGACAAAACTCCCTCCAAATGAGATATAGAAAAGAACCAATACAGCTCACTGCAAACTCCCCTCTTCCTAACATAGCACCAAGCAGGGAAATTGTGTCTATACTTGACATATCGGGGCCCAGACCAGATAGTGCCACAAAATACAGAGAACTGGAGAAAGATCCTTGAGAGTTTTGGTGTAACCTGGAGAAGTGGGTTGATAACTTCACACTGCAGGGTAGGGATAAGAAAGTCACAAGGCCAGGCTGAGAGAGGAAAAGAGTTTATCCAAGGTGGCTACAAGCAGTCAAACTGAAATGGAGAATGAGAGTCAAAGTCTAAAGGAGCCAAAGTCATAGCTAGGAAAATGGTGAGTGAATATTAGGGTCAAGGATTGAGGCAAGAAGTAAAATAAGAACACAAGCAGCAAGGTCAGTGACCATGAAGGTTAGAGGCAGGAAGACTCAGGTATGCTGACAGGACAAACAAAATTAAGTCTGTGAACGACAAGCACGTACTGAAGCTTCCTTGTCACACGGCTGCGTCTCTATCTCGTAATATTCCTCTCTAGCCCCCATTCAACCCTTGTGGGGCTAAAAAGGATTCGTGCAACACAGTGATATCGCTGGACCCAGGACTCTGTTCCCTGCTCAGCTCCCCAAATCAGGCAAAGAACAACCAGAAACAATACTCTTTCCAAACACCACTTACAAATAGGGAGAAATTACCCCCTTGGGTCTGATTATCCTCAGATTTAATTATCAGGGATTTAGGACTTGGAAGAGTGGTGTTTAAAATAGCCATTAATCGGTCAGAATAGCTGGGTGAAAAGGGGGCACGAAGGGTCTGCCAAACAGTGCTCTGCTTGTCTCCCATAGGAAGGATCTTTTCTGATGGTCCAGGTCAGAGCTACAAGAAACCAGCACAGGGGCTCCTTCATTTGTCTTGATTTTCCCTTCCCAGCCTCCTAAGAGTTTTCATTACATTCCAGAAATTATCTCCAAACTGACCTTTGAAAACGTATCAAGCTGCTGCTGAAAAGTTTGTTCTTGCTTTGTGTTCCAGAAAGAAAAGGTGGACTTCTCCTGCAACAAACTGGCTGATCCTAAGTTTTCATTTTATGACAAGACTTTGGTGGAAGCAGTGGAAAAGGGAGATCACTGGGTGCACTTGTTTTTCCTCTCACTCTCATTGTGTCATACTGTGATATCAGAAGAAAATGTGGAAGGTGAGGCGAGGCCTGAAGCTTCATGGGCTGAGAATGTGGCCTAGAGTCTAGGCTGCTTAGAGGTGGGGGTGGTTTGATATGCTTTTTAATGGCTTAATATAAGCCATGCTACCCATTCTACTGGGTAGCATTGTCCAGCAATGGAATGGATAGTCAAGATAAGTAGTGAGCTCCTAGTTACTGGAGGCATTTAAGAAGAAAACAAGCTCTTGATTTAAAAAGAGATCCATATATTAAATAAGGGCCAAACTTGGTGCTACCTATGGAGCTTCTGACTTTTTTTATATTTCTTTTAAATGTATTATGGTGTTCTACACGTTCAGAGAAACTTCTTTGGTAACTAACTATAGAATGATTCCTGAAACTGTAGTCTTAGGAATTTCTGATCTTGAGACTGTGATGTTCTGTCACAGTCCATTTGAAATGTCCCCAAGACCAGCCCCACTTTCAAGACTTCCTAAAAGATGAGTTGTCATCCTCTTGTCACTTCAAAATTTAGTAACTAAACGTAGCTATGTCATCCATTAATTTATCCAAACCGTTTTAGAAACAATGAGTAAGAATTGACTAGTTATAATTAAACAGACTTTTTTTCTTTTTCTTTTTTTTTTTTTTTTTGAGTTGGAGTCTCACTCTGTCACCCAGACTGGAGTGCAGTGGCCGCTCCCGGCCACCGCAGCCTCAACCTGCTGGGCTCCGGTGATCCTTTCGCCTCAGCCTTTCAAGTAGCTGGAATTACAGGCATGCGCTACCACTCCCGGCTGATTTTTTGATTTATTGTAGAGATGAGGTCTCGCTGCCCAGGCGGGTCTCGAACCTGCAGACTCAGGCAATCCACTCACCTCAGCCTCCCAAAGGCGCAGGATTACAGGCTGAGCCATGGAGCCCGGCTGACTTTTTTTCTTAATAAACAAAAATTTAGGCAACCAAATGAAGCATGTCCTTTAAAGTCAATGTACATTTAATATAATACTACCAGTAGTGACACCTTGTGTTTGTATATCACTTTACAGTTTTTCAAATTGCTTTCATTTACATTGTTTCCTACAGTCTTCACATCAGCCCTCTGAGGTAGGCAGAACAAGAAAGATGACCCTAGTTTTACAGAGAAGGAAACTGAAGCTAAAAGGGATTAGGTTACTTGCCTAAAATCCTATTGCTTAGAAGGGCAAAGATAAAAACCCAAATCTCCTATCTCCTTCCTCTGTGAGCTCCCACCCCACCACGTGTTTCTCTGGGTCTGCCATTCTAACAAGCTTCTGTGATTTTAAGCATATTTGGCCTCTTTTTTGTTTACTACCTTGAGTGACAGGGCAGGAAATACACAAGAAGATAGTCTCAGTTGTTTTGTAGATACATCTTATGTCTGACCTAAAATTATACTCTTCATCTACTTTATTCACAAGTATAAGACTCTGATGATGTATAACTGTTTTAAAAGTCAAATTGACCTTCAGAAGAGAAATAATCAAAAATATGTCTCAGGCTGTGATAATATTCTAACAGAAGAGTTCCAGAAATACATAGAGTAATATCAAATTGAAAGATTGATTCAACAAAGTGAGTCATTTAGCTTCTCAGAGTGAGTGCAAAGGTGACAACACTCACATATATATTTTTAATTGCTTACTAAACCATCAATCTTATTGTTGTGTAATGGTGCTTATTAAAGTGTGATTAGTCCTATGTCGTAGCACTTACGCAGAACCACCTGCATGAGAATCACCCAGGAGATCTGTTTAAAAATTCAATTTCTTAGGCCCTCCTCCCAGATTGTGTGATTATGCATTCAGCAAGAAATCCAGGAACCGTATTTCTAACAAGTTCCCTGAGCCATCTTTACCCGCTAAAGTCAGAGAGTAACTACCTGTTTTTGTTTGTTGTATACACTTCGTGTATCACAAACTGCTGTAATGCTAACTTAGATATTTTTGTTTGTTTGTTTGTTTTGTTTTGTTTGTTTTTTTGAGTTGGAGTCTCACTCTGTTGCCCAGACTGGAGTGCAGTGGCCGCTCCCGGGCTCCAACCTGCTGGGCTCCGGCGATCCTTCCGCCTCAGCCTTCCAAGTAGCCGGAATTACAGGCATGTGCTACCACACCCAGCTGATTTTTTGATTTATTGTAGAGATGAGGTCTCGCTGCCCAGGCGGGTCTCGAACCCGTGGGCTCAGGCAATCCACTCACTTCAGCCTCCCAAAGGCACGGGATTACAGGCTGAGCCACCGAGCCTGGCAACTTAGATATTTTAAATGAGCTGAAAATAATGGAAAGGAAAAGAGACTAGCATGGTCTATGCAAACTGGCATTTTAGAGCCAGACTCGTGAGGAAGTTTTAAAGAAAAATGTCCCCTTCTGGGTTCCATCTTCATGTGAGACACTTAGAAGACAGCATCACCTCTGGATATTCAACTAGTCATTCCTGTGGGCTCTGGTTGCCCTCTTCTCTCCTGTCAGGTATGCTGGTATACCAGGCTCAGTCGCCAGATGAAGGTGCCCTGGTCACTGCTGCCAGGAACTTTGGCTTTGTGTTCCGTTCCCGCACATCTGAGACAGTCACGATGGTCGAAATGGGGAAAACCAGAATCTACAAACTGCTGAATATTTTAGACTTCAACAATGTGCACAAGAGGATGTCTGTTATTGGTGGGTGCCTCTTCTAGTCAGCTCTCTACTCTTCTGTGTCCTTCATATGCATTCACACATTAACTTTCTCTTTTACCTACACACAGATGCTTCTTCTCACTCACGTGCCTTCCCACAGATCCTGAGCCTCAATACAAACACACAGCCATTCCTACTTTCTCTCTCATGTATCCTTTAACTTTCCTTTTGTACACATATGGGAACTTACTACCATACATTAAGTCACTTCTCTAGTGTTCCTGAGTGGTGGCTTGTCAGCACCCTCAAAGCCAAGATAAGCACAGAGAATAAATTTATAAAGCCTGAACATGGAATAGGAGATGGGAACAGACAGTATAGAAATATAGACTCTCAATTAGTTTAGACCTCAGACTAAAGAAGAAAAGGTCATTTTTCATTCTTGATCCTCATTAGGTGCGAGTCTGGGACTTATAATCAAGAAGCTAAATGCAGCTGTATATCAGAATCTTCCACGGGTGATATTGAACCCATGGAAGAACTGATTCTGTAAGTTCCTCTCTTGCTTTTTACCAGCCCTCACCCTCCAAAGGTATCAGAAACGAATGTCATGGGGAGCAGCCTCCTGCCGTCCCTCAATGGCCAGGAAAGGTTTTTATAACAGTAGGCCTCTATGGTTACTTTGCTTAATTCGCTTATCTTTAGTGAGGACACCTGAAGATTGGGTAATGTTTTTCTGCAAGGGTGCAGACACTATCACGTGTGAACTACTTCATCCGTCCTGTAGATCCCTTAGTGATGTGACCATGGAGCACTTAGATGTAAGTGTTTAGGCTGCAGGAGAGGGAAGCTATGGGTGGCTCTCCATATCTGGATATGTTCTACATATGTGTCCCTGGGTCAGTGCCTTTCTGTATTGGATGTGTCTGTGTCTCATCAATTGGTGGAAAAATAAAACTATCTCATTTTGTAGCATTCTCACTGTCCACCTTGCCAACTTCTGTGTCAAAGAGTTAGATGGGGCAGGATTCCAGAAGCATGGTGAGGATTGTGTCTATGGGAGCACTTTCAACAATCAGAATAGTTCCATGATTCTTGGTTCAGAAGGTTCCATAGTCAGACCTAGACTTTGCATCAGAATAGGGCTAGCTGATAAAGAGGCCCTGCCTCTTACCCATGATGAGAACAGACTGCGCCTAGGGTATGGAGCAGAAAGCACCAAGCCTGGGTTGTTTGATACCCTCCTCTGTTGCTCACCAGGCCTGGGTTGTTTGATACCCTCCTCTGTTGCTCACTTAGAATTCCCAAGGGCATCTCCCCGCTCCCTGCCCTGCCCTGCTTCCATAATCTATGGTTTGGGATGTATCGAAAAGAGAGAGTTTCTCCAACATGCTGGCATAAGAAAGGAAAACCATATGACCTAGCAATTCCATTCCTATGTATACTCCCCAGAGAAATAAAAATGTACATCCACACAAAAATATTTACACAAATGTTCATAGCAGCATTATTCTTAATGGCCTAAAAGTTTAAACAACCCAGCCGGGCTCGGTGGCTCAGCCTGTAATTCTGCGCCTTTGGGAGGCTGAGGTGAGTGGATTGCCTGAGCCTGCGGGTTCAAGACCCGCCTGGGCAACTTGGCGAGACCTCATCTCTACAATAAATCAAAAATCAGCCAGGCATGGTAGTGTGTGCCTGTAGTTCCAGCTACTTGGAAGGCTGAGGCGGAAGGTTCGCCAGAGCCCAGCAGGTCAGGCTGTGGTGACTGGGAGCAGCCACTGCACTCCAGTCTGGGTGACAGAGTGAGACTCCAACTCAAAAAAAAAACAAAAATAAAGTTTAAACAACCCAAATGTCCATCAACAGATGAATGGATAAGCAAAATGTGGTTTATCAGTATAATGGAATGTTACTTAGCAATAAAAAGGAAGGAAGTACTAATACATGCTACAACATGGATGAGCCTTGAAAACATGCTAAGTGAAAGAAATCAGTTGCAAAATGCCACATATATATAAAATTCCATTTATATGAAATGTCCAGACTAGGCAAATCTATAGATACAGAAAGTCAATTAGTGGTTGCCAGGAAGGCTAGGGAAAAATAGAATGGGGAATGATCGCTAATGGTGTCAGGGTTTCTTTCGGGAATGATGAAAATGTTCTGAAATGAGATATTAGTAATGGTTGCACAAACTTTGTTAAGTATACTAAAAAAAAAAGAAACAGCCACTGAATTGCACAGTTTAGAAGGGTGAAGTTTATGGGGTGTGAATTACATCTCAAGTTTTAATAAAAAAGGTCAGTTAGTTAAGTGTCCCACACAAGACAGCTCTTATGTCTTGTACTGGTTCCCAGAGGTCACAGTATTTTTTACGGGCTAGTCTCTTACCTTTTAAACTTTCAGAACATCTGAATTAGGCTACCTTTTCAGAGCATTTCCATCTACTGGCTTCAAAGAGGGTCATAAAACTGTTTCAGGTCTTTTGACATGCTTCCTGCTACCAACCTCAAAAAGGACTTATAGTAGAGTCTGTCCACAATACAGTCTTTTAGCCGCTGATGCAAACCTCTAAGGGTCAAGTTCCAACAACTCACTCATGCAAAAGCACAGCTCTAGATCCTCTGAGACAGGGGTCAGCAAACAGGTCACACAAAAACAGGTGGCAGGCAGACTCCCAGGCCCTAGTTAGCCAATCCCAGTACAAAGAGAAAAGAAAAACACACATGTAGGCATAGGAGATAATGTTAACACATGCTGCTAAGGTACTTGTTGTTGAGTAAATTAATGAATGTGTCAGTGTTTTGTTAAGCTTGTCAAGTCCTCTTAGCTGTGTCCTTTGCAAAACCAGTTTCTGCCACTGTCACTTCCTTTTTAAGAAGTCTCCTGAGATCTTTCCTGGGTTTCTTAGGCTGCAAACCATACAAAGGTTTAAGTGATGGCATTCCTACATATATTGTCTATGTTAATTCCACCTGACAGCTAGCATGAAACACTCAGGAGTTGCACAGGGAACTAAGAGAAAATTATGTTTATCTTTGCTCTTATAATGCAAAGTGAATTATTTTACAACTCACTATAGTAGTGATCATATAGAATTGTTATCTATCATTAAACCTTACTTTGCAGGCAGACAGGGTCTGTGGGGGTCAAGCTGTCACTCCCTTAACTCAACCTTAACCCAGCTCAGGCCCACTTGGTGCACACACGTCCTCCAGGACTATGCCAGCGAAGGCCTTCGCACCCTCATGGTGGCCTACTGAGAGCTAGACGATGCGTTTTTTCAAGACTGGAGCAAGAAACAGAATGAAGCCTGGCAGTCTTTGGAGAATCGGGAAGACAAATTATCAAATGTCTATGAAGAGATTGAAAAAGACTTGATGGTTAGTGTGAGGAAGCCTGGGACAGACTAGGGGCAGGCACTGGGGCTGCCAGCCAGCAGACCGAGCAAGGGCTCTGAGAGTGGCTTCCTGAGGATCAACATGTGCCGGCTGTATCCGAGAGGAAGGACAGGCAGGCTTGGCAGGAAGGCCCCATAGCTTTGTGCCAGGGAGGCTGGATGCTGGAATCCAAGCTGATTCAGTATATTCTGGATCTTCTGAATCCATAATGAAAAAATGCACTGGTTGTAGATTTTATCTTTCTGGCAGTGTCTCTTATCCAAAAGCTGTTTACAGAAGCTATGTAATCTAGGAGAAATCAGGATCTGAATAATGTATAGATTAGCTAATCCAGAACTAATTGATGGAGTAATCACAACAAAAATATGTACTCATTCATTTGACATGCATCCTATATGCCAGGCAACGTTCAAAGCCTTGGACATGTAGCAGTAGACAAAACAGACAAAAAGTAACATACATGGTATGTCAGATGGTAAGTCCTGAGGGGAAAAATAGATAAAACCAGGGAAGGGAACTCAGCGTGTACGTGTGTGTTTTGGAGAGGGCAGAGGCATTGTTGCTACTTAAAATAGGGTAAGTTAGTCTTCACTGTAAAGAAGACATCTGAAAAGAGACCTGAAGAAGGTAGCAGGCCAACAGACTTCTGGGGAACTTGCTTTTCAGACAGAAGTAATGGCAAGAGAAAAGATCCCGGAATAGGAGTAGGCACAACTTGTTAGTTGAAAAGCAAGGTAGCCAGTGAAGCAGGAACAGTATGAGTAAGGGGAAGAGAATAAAAGAACACAAGACAGAGAAGTTGGGGAGTGTCCTCATAGGCCAGCATAAGGGCTTATGGTGAGATATGGAAAACCATTGAAGAGTTTGACCAAAGAAGTGACATGATGGCTTTTATAATTATAATTTGGGATGCTGTCTTGATATTATAGTATAGGAGAGCAAGGGCAGACCCAAGGGAGACCAACCAGAAGGTAGTTGCAGTAGTACAGGTGAGAGATGATGATGTTTGGACCAGATAGAAGTAGAAATGGAGACGGAGTGGTTAAATTCTGTGTGTATTTTAAAGGTAGAAATGGCTGGGCTTGGTGGCTCAGCTTGTCATTCTAGCACTTTGGGATGCTGAGTTGAGAGGATTGCTTGACCCCATGGGTTCAAGACCAGCCCAGGCAACTTGGTGAGACCTCATCTCTACAATAAATTTAAAAAAAAAAAATTAGCTGGACGTGGTAGCACACGCCTGTAGTTCAGCTACTTGGAAGGTTGAGGTGGAAGGATCGCCGGAGCCCAGCAGGATGACGCTGGGGAGGCCATGAGTGTACCACTGCACTCCAGCCTGAGTGACCAAGTGAGACTCCAACTCAAAAAAAGAAAAGAAAAGAAAAAGAAAATAGCCTTCATTTTAGACCGGGCGTGGTGGCTCACGCCTATAATCCCAGCACTTTGGGAGACCGAGGTGAGAAGATTGCCTGAGCTCACAGGTTCAAGACCAGCCTGGGCAACTTGGTGAGACTTCATCTCTACAATAAATAAAAAAAATAGTTGGGTGTGGTGGCGAATGCCTGTAGTTCTGGTTACTTGGAAGACTGAGGCGGAAGGATCGCCTAAGCCCAGCAGGACGAGGCTGTGGTGGCCGTGAGTGGACCACTGCACTCCAGCATGGATGACAGAGTAAGACTACAAATTAAAAAAAAAAATAGGGACACCAGGATGTGCTGATGGATTGGACTGAGGAGTATGAGAAAAGATGAGGATAACCTCAAAGTGCTTGACTAGACTTATACAGGCCAGCTTGGCTATAAAAAGAAAAATTACTGGAATCCTCCCATAATACATGGGAAAATGTAGAGACCCCAATCTCCTTCCATAGTCAGTGGTAGTATTTCTAGACTGTCCTTCCGGAGGGCTAGCGGAAATGAGTTGGTAGTTTGCTCAAGCATTAGGTCATCAGGCTCAGTCCTGGTCCCTATCCCTGTGATGAGCATTGGTGAGACATTATAGAGAAACTTGATGTTGGCCCAAGATTCTCTTAATCTAGTTTGGGAAAAGACCTTGAAAACCATAGAAGGCACTAGTGGGTACAAACAAATGATATACACCCAAGCCCTTGTAGGGCTGAAGGGAAAACTGAATTCGGATTTGGGGGTCCCTTGTCTGGGGACTACCACTTCTGGAGCCAGGAATTGCACTATAGAGCAAGGGAAAAGTGAAGGTGTGTTGAGAAACTAGAGATGGTTTAGATGTGGTGCAGAGCTTTGTGGATGACTTGGGCAAGACTCTTCCCTCTCTGTTCCTTAATATTATGTGTTTCTAAATTTGTTTTTTGTGTGTAGTTGAAAAGATGTGAGTTTTATACCACTGGGATCCTCATGCCAGGACAGAGCCAGCTCAGTAAAATGCTGAGGTGCCAGTTCAGTCATTGGGTAGCACTAACTGCTGTGACTCCCTTTTCCTCACACACCAATGTCTGATATTTTAAGCTGTTAGGGGCTACAGCCATAGAAGACAAGCTGCAAGATGGAGTACCTGAGACAATCATCTGAACAAAGCCAAAATTAAAATATGGGTTTTAACTGGAGATAAGCAAGGTAAAAGGAGCCCCTAATCTGACTGATCCTCTACCCTGTCCACCGTAACCATTTCTTTTTTTTCTTCTTTTTCCTTAGCCGTTTTCTTAACAAATACCTTGTAACTCAGATCTAGTCCTTATGGGACATCTTCATTCCCAGTCTTGTATACAACGTGCTGAGCATGTGCTTTATGCCAGATGTTGCATGAGGCACTGAAGACACAGTGATGAATCAATCAGACATGTACCCTGTTATCCAGGAATTCACAAGCTAAACTTTAAACTTTAGGCCAGATGTGATGGTTCATGCCTGTAATCCCAGAAGCTTTAGGAGACGGAAATGGGATGATCACTTAAAATCAGGAGTTCGAGAACAGCCTGGGCAACATTGCAAGACCTTCTCTCTACAAAAAGCCAAAAAATTAGCCATGCTTGATGATGCGTGCCTGTAGTCCCAGCTACTTAAGAGGCTTAGATGGAAAGATCACCTGAGGCCAGGAGGTCAAGGCTGCAGTAAGCTACGATCACACCACTGCACTCCAGCCTGGGCAACAGAGCAAGACACTATCCGTAAAATAAATAAATAAATATATATATATATATATATATATATATATATATATATATA